GTTAAGATNGGGGAGGGGGAGGGAGTGGCGCCACGAAAACAAGCAATCACACACACACAGCAACCAAGGACAAAACACAAAACAAAAACGCTTTGCCTAAAACTGTGCGCTGACGGTCCCACGCCGCAACACTATCGTACGCAGCAACCGTTACCCAAACCCGAACGTAGGACATGGTGTGCACACGTACCTTCCGAGCCGGATCCCGCAGCTGCCGTTGCAGAAGGAGGGGTTACAATCACATGGCGCAGTTGGAGTCGGTTGGCAGGTGGTTGGTCGGTTGGCAGGTAGTGGGAGAAGGCGGGGCGGGGCGGCAGCAGAAACCCGGTGTGTAATTAGCAGCGAATCGTGATCCGGAAAATGGCAAAATAAGCCTAAACCTATCTACCTACATACATAGATACATACATGCATACATACATGCGCACAGAATTGCGCGTGTACAGTGCCGCGCAGCGCAATACCACCTTTGTTTTCGTACATGCTTTCAGAAAGGAGGTCCTTTACCAGGTGTCGTACCTTAATCATTCGCAGTGTACGACCACCAGACTGCCGTACAGACCTGAATGCATGAAATGGTTACAGGGCGGCACGTATCATCATCCGTCGCGGGTTGTGAAGAATCGGTTTGTTGTTTGTTTGCCGTACACAGGGCAGGAGAAACGCCGCAGTCAATACAAAGTGCAAAACATACTGCATTATAATTACTAAAATTACTAGTTAATCCTATCGATAAAACTAATGGATTCAATTGACAAGTTGATATATAACAAGTTATCCTTTTTTTTAATTAAATTAAATTAAATTATTGACAAAGGGGAGCGGCGAGGGGGAAGGCGTCGACGGGTTTAGGTCGCAAAAAGCCAACTCCCAGTTCACGGTTCGCAATACATACATACGTACACATACTTCAAAACCACACAGTACTACACTACACTGTACTGTACTGTCCCACCTCCCCCACACCACCACATTCATCCATCCATTTGGGTTTTACAAACAGCTCACATTACATCCCTTAATACACCGTTCCACCACCACCACCACCACCACCACCACCACCATCACCACTACCACCACCACCACCACCATCACCACCACCGCCATCCCCACCACCATCACCACCACCATCACCACCGCCATCACCACCATCATCACCACCACCATCACCACCACCATCACCACCATCACCATTCTCCGGACGGCGGAGTTCCTCACCAATGACCAATGACCTAACCTCCCCCAACCTCCTCCCTCCCCTCCCCTCTTTCCTTGGCAGCAGCTTCACTCGTTCGTGGTTCGTCTTTCCCCCCCTCTCCCCCCCCCCACCTCCAACTCACCGAGCGTCCAGGACGCTGTAACTCCGGGCCTTAGCCAGCCCTGTGCCCTCTCCTCCCACATCCTCCTTGTCGCTCTCCGCCGCCATCAGACAACCAAGAACCAGCTGAGTGGAAACAGTCTGATGACGGTTCACGTCCCCGCGTGTGTGTATGTACGGACGTACGAATGTCGGGCATGGCAGGGCGGGTCCGGGGGGAGGAGCAACCATCGATGGCGATACACTGCTAAAGTATGTTGGTAAAATCTCGCCGTACATGGCCGTGCAAGTGGCCGTACATGGCCGTACATATTGTCGTCAAAGTTTTCGGTTTACATATCATGTCGTACCTTGAACACGTCCTCGCTGACCATCAGCGACTGCTCGTCCGACAAGTACTCGGCGCGGTACTGCCCGGGCTGCCTCTCCACGTACTGCAACTCCAACCGCCGCCACTTCTGCGGCAAGGTGGTGGTGGTGGTGGCGTGTATGTATGTATGATGTGTGGGACAGGGGGACCGTGCCCGCTTCACCCTGCGGCCGGTACCCGGCGAAACCCTGCCTTCCCCCCGGTATTTCGGGGCACCCTCATCCAGTCAACCTAGTCAACTTCTCAGTGGATCGCTCAGGTTCCGCACCCACCACCAGCATCCAACGGAATCTGCCGGGTCGACAGCGGCCCAACTCCATTCCTGGTCGGCTCGAAAGTCAACTTTATCCCAGGTCACCACCGTCCATCGACTAGGGGAATTTTACCTTCCATCCTTCGATCCCGGAACGTTCTGGGGCATTGGTCCGACCTTTACCAGTAGCGCCTGACCCAAAAATAACATCTCCAAAAAGAACCTACTTGGATTGACATCACCCAGTTTCGATCTGGGGGCCTCCTGTGTGTAAGACAGGTGTGATTCCACTACACCATGATGCCCTGCCACAATGACATTCATGTCTATGTGCACATGTATGTATGTATATATTTTTAAATTTATACGTATGTGTGTTGTACAGGTCTCTGAAATAAAGAAAAATAAAGACCTCTGGACGGCGGCCCAACAGTCTTTGGACGGTGGCTCCTGCCCCAAAGGTGTGTATGCGGCCTGAGTTTCCCTTTCCCCCCATCCGAAAACCTCCCGTACATACCCGTACACACATGTCCTCAAACGTACTCACCCGTACATAACCGTACACACGCACTTCCATTCACTGCACGCTTGTGCGCAACTCGCCATTTAGAGAACGCAGTACTCCCCCCCTCACCTTCTTGGCGTCTTCCCACATGAACATGCATGTGTATTGACCGGTAAGGCACGCCAGGGCCCAGCACACCTGCACCCCCCACATCGACACCTTGCTGTACGACTCCTGTACGGCACAAGACAGATGGAGGGCAGGGGTGACGAAAGGAGGGCGGGAAGGAAGGCGCACCCACCCACACACACACATTGACCCGAAGGCGCAAGGGAAAGGGCGGAGAGATATTAGAAAACGGAAACGACAAGGAGGACGGTTTATGTGTCGGAGAAAGTACGTGAAAGAGGCACACATACACATACACACATACACATACATACATATACACATACACTCTTACCACCAGTCGTGCTACAGCCTTCTCCAGCAGTAGCACCCAGACCTCACTGCCCAGGATTTTAGTTTTAGTGATGGGAGTGTTGTTGTAGCAGGGGATACTGTTGGGGGATGAACAGACAGACATACAGACAGACAAGCTCAGGTAGTCAAATTGACAGATAAATAGACAAATATGTAGACAGACAGACAAACAGTGGAGAGAGCGAAGCGGGGAGAGGGCACCGATGGAGAAGTGGCGGCAACCTATCACATACGCCTTCGTGCCGTACTTCCTCGTACACCATGCCTCACTTCCACCACGTCCCCCCCCCCGTGGCGGTCAGGTCCAAATACACACACCCACACTCCCGCCACCTTTCTCCCTCGAACCCCAAACTGCGGAAATTGAACCCCGTGGTTCCATGTACGTTGCCGTACTGCCGTACCAGTCATCAAATGGCGCAATGGATGCGGTCCCGGTCTTGGGTTCGTACAGTCGTACTTGGTAGGCTCCGTCGGGCCTATATTCCCGGCCACTTACGAAAAGCTGGTCGGTTGTACGGCAAAACCCGGTGAAGAGGCAAGCGGGCGCGGGAGGTGCCAGGCTTGGGAACGGACGAGAGGCGTGTATGTACGTGTACGTGTATGTATGTAAGTTATATATGTAACATATATGTATATACGTACAAATCGTATATGTGTATGGGCAAAGGCGGGCCGTACACATTATTACCGCCATTGTAAGAAGAGAGGGTATCAGGTGTACGACCAGAAGTAGTGATAGCAAAACACACACACATACTCCTTCCCACCCTTCGGAAATACCCATCCTCCCCTCTTTCCCCTGGCCCCTTTTGTTTCGTGAACCCCATGATACCTTCCCCCTCCCCCTCCCCCCTTCCCCCCCCCTCTACCGTACAGGCCCAGGGCACCTCGGGGCTGTACGGCTAGGTAGTCATATTACGCCTTTTCGCCTTCAACTCGACAGCAACTAGTATCCGTCCGTCTATCCCGGGTACCAGCTTCACTTGTCTGTGGTTCGTCCTCCCCCCACCCCACCCCCTTACCCCCCTAACCCCCCCAACCCCCCCCCCTTATCCCCCCGTACCTCACCTCCTCAACCGCTCCCGGCTTGTTAGCGAGACACGCCACCGCCACCATCAACCCCGTGCTCCCCCCGTCGATATCGTCCGGGTGGGTGCCACCCCCCGCGAACAGTTTGAGGCCCCGGGCCCCCCGACGAAACTGCTCCGGGGCGGCGATATCCTTCAGACGTAGCCTGCAGGTGGTTGGGGAGTGGTTGCAGGTGGTTGAGGTGGTTGTAGGACGGTGGGGTGGAAAGGCAGGTATAAGGGTGTAGGAGGGGTAGAGGAAAGGGGAGGGGTGGGGTGGGAAATCATGTGATACAAAAAAAGCGATACAAAATCCTCCACCTTCTGGCACCTCCTTTGCGTGTATATTTGGATGTCTTCTCTTCGAAGAAGGTAGGGGGGCAGTCCGGGAAAAGTTTCTCATGTTTCTCATGTTTACAGTGGGCGGCTTGCCAAGCCCAATGGGTGGTTCATCGGCCATCTTCGCACCCACAAAGCACAACGATATAAAAGATGGGGAAAAGATGACTTTTACAATTTTAAGAAAAACTGATCACAATGGCGTTGTTATGAAATGGCATCGAAAGCCCCACCGGGTACCGACCATATAACTTTTACGCATGGCTCATGTGCCAGGGATAACTGTCAGTATCAGTAAAATACGGGGTTTGCACGATTTACACTTTACGGTTTGCGCAATTTACGAAATCCAAAACATCCATCCATTACGCCAAGTGACTCGAACGACACATTGTGTATGTGTGTGGAGGAGGGTTGAGTTGGGAGGTGGTTGAGGGGAATCGGGGCAGGGCAGTATGGCAGTATTAACAGGTTGCAGCTGACTAACCGACCGAACCACCCTAACCGCCCTAACCGACCCCAACGAACTCACCACTTGATGATCTCATTCAGCTGGGCGCCCGTTTTCGGTTCACCGTTGAGGATGAACTTGTAGTCGCCCAGCGACCGGTGGTCGTGCGGGAAGGACGGGTCCTGCAACGCAAGTAACGAACAACGGCAAACAAACAACGGTCAACAGCGAGCGGGAAACGACGTTCGCAACAAGGTTCCGTCCCCGAAGGCTCAGGGATAGAAGTGCAGTCACGTACACTGCACATGCAATGCCGTACCAACACACACCTTGTCGTACCTCCCTTTTGCTGATGCGTACGAGTCGGAGGCAGCTGTGCCAGCAGACACAGCCTTCCACGGTTTTCATCCACGCACCCCAATTCTCCCCCTCCCCCCTTCGCTCATGGTTCGTCTTCCCCCCCTCCCCCTGCACCCACCACCGAAATACCCTTCTTTCCCCCTCCCCCCTTACCCCAACGCCCGCCCCCCCGCACTCACATAAAACACCTCAACCAACCCCGCCGTGTTGTCCTCGACGTAGTCAAAACCGTTGCTGCGGTTAGGGAGGCAGCAAGCCGACAGTTAGGTTCGTTCCGTTGGCAGTTTTTTCCGTTGTTCCGAGCGAAAGCATACGACCGTCCCGGCCACGCGTCCCAAGCTTCAGATACAGGTCCAGTGTTCCGGATCGATATGTAACAAAGAGATACAGATATACAAACATACATACACACAGACATCCACGTACAATACACACACGACCGCACGGCTTCCCCCCCTTTACCACCTCCTCCTCCTACCGCGTTCACATGGAACCCTTGGAGCCCCTTTATCTACCGCCTATCTCTACGCTCATCCCCCCAAAACCATCTACTCGATCCATAACCCTAAAACAAACACCCC